CGGGCTCCGGTGACAGGAGTCGCTGCCAGCATGTGCCCACGGGCTGCACCCTTCCTCACTTAACTTCCTAGGAAAGGCTCAAACAAAAGGGTCTGCTGCTGACACTGATCTCAGATTACTTGGGCTGAGAGGAGGGAATCATAGACTCTGCTACTTGGAAGAAACCCCAAGGACTCATGGATGTCAAGCCTCAGTCTCTGAATTCAGCTTGCTCCAGAAATAACAGCCTCTACCCACTCCCCAGTGCTTCCCTGGTGGCACTAGTGGTAAAGAATCCACCTGCCAATACAGGAGATGCAAAGATGTAGGTTTAATCCCTGAGTCAGGAAGATCCCCTGGAGAAGGAAATGGCAACCCACTCCAGTATATTTTTGCCTGGGAAATCTCATAGACAGAGGAGCCTGGTGACTGACAGTCCATAGGGTCGCAAAAGAGTCAGACCTGACTTAGCAACTAAACAACAACACAAGAACCCACTCTCCAGTGTGAGAAGAGATCTAGCCCAGCATTTCTCAAACTTAAGGGAACATTCAAACCACCCAGGATTCTTGCAATGCAGATTTTGACTCAGTAGATCGACCAAGACACCTTGGTGCCCTCAAAGCTCCTGTTTTAGTGGGGGAAGTGCAGTCTGTGGTCAGGCTGAGCCCTCCAGGGCAAGAGCTTTTTATTTTCTCCAGTCACATGGTCTCACATCACAGTACCTCTAATATCATAACCTGTAACCATAGAAAATATTTGTTGGATGGTTGTATGATTGGGTGGGCACATGTGAATGGATGGGTGGATGGATGCTGATGTGAAAATCAAATCAATCAGAAAAAGCCAGCAATTGATAGACTATGTGTGTGTGTGTGAGTTACTCAGTCATGTCTGACTCCTTGCAACCCCGTAGACTGTAGCCCACCAGGCCCCTCTGTCCATGGGACTCTCCAGGCAAGAACACTGGAGTGGGTTGCTATTTCCTTCTCCAAAAGGAACTATAGAAAGAAACAAAGTGATAGACTATACTATTACATATTTACATATGTATTTACCTATTATATATCTAGGCAAAATAGTCCTGGGGGAAAATGGGGGAAGGGAGAAGGAAGGAAGAAGGGTGGGAGGAAGGAAGGGAGGGGAAGAGAGAAGGAGGGAGAGGGGAAAGGGAAGAAGGCAGTGAAACAGGAAAAACTCTCTAAACCCCCAAAGAGTTTTCTTTATGCCTCTACTGGAACATCTTACTAACTTAGAATGATTTATGGATGTGTCACATCCCCTCCCGTAAACTATGAGGTGTGTGCATGCAAGGCTGCATCTTTTATCTCCTAATCCCCAGTGCCTGGCTCTAGCAGGAACTCTGTAAATATACATTTTGTGAAATGAATAGTGATAATAGCTCCATTCACAAAATCCTTTTTAGGTACCAGACATGGATATCTCATTTAATCCTGTAACAGTCTTACGAAGCCAGTCTGATTATCCACACTTTACAGATGAGGAAGGCGAAACGTAGCAGGATTAAATTAAATGCCCATAGTCTACACAATCAGCAGTTGGACCAGAGCCCATAGCCAGGTTTTGTAAGGCCTGAAGCTGATATATTTTGAAGGACTCGCTTTAAGGAAAAGAATACCCCCAAAAATCTGCTGCAAAATTTACAGAATAGTATGACCATGTGAACACAGAACCGAGACAGGGCTCCTTACAGCGGCCATGCGGGAGGGACTCTGCGGCTTGGACCACACTAGTGCCATGGCAAAACGTCCTCTGATCTTGACCCACGGACTAGAACCAAAAGCAACAGGAAGAAGGAAGAGAGGAAAATGTCAGAAAAAGAGATGAAGTGATAAAAGCAGAACAAAAGGAAACGGAGGAAGACGGGAAAAGGAGGGGACAATAAATAGATGGTTGGAGGACTTCCCTGGCTTCTCAGTGGTGAAGAATCCACATGCCAGTGCAGGAGATGCTGGTTCGATCCCTGGTCCAGGAAGATCCCGCATGCTGTGGAGAAACTAAGCCAGTGTCACAACTACAGAGCCTATGCTCTAGAGCCGCACAAAAGAAGCCACTGCAATAAGAAGTCTTTGCACAGCAACAAAGAGCACAGTCAAAAATAAATAAACACTATATATATCTGGTCCCATCACTTCATGGCAAATAGATGGGGAAACAATGGAAACAGTGAGAAGACTGGAAACAGTGAGGGTTCCAAAATCACTGCAGATGGTGATTGCAGCCATGAAATTAAAAGACACTTGCTCCTTGGAAGAAAAGCTTTGGCAAACCTAGATAGCCTATTAAAAAAGCAGAGACGTTACTTTGCCCACAAAGGTCTGTCTAGTCAAAGCTATGGTTTTTCCAGTAGTCATGTATGGATGTGAGAGTTGGACTATAAAGAAAGCTGAGTGCTGAAGAATTGATGCTTTTGAACTGTGGTGTTGGAGAAGACTCTTGAGAGTCCCTTGGACTGCAAGGAGATCCAACCAGTCAATCCTAAAGGAAATCAGTCCTGAATATTCATTGGAAGGACTGATGCTGAAGCTGAAACTCCAATACTTTGGCCAAATGATTCAAAGAACTGATTCATTGAAAAAGACCCTGATGCTAGGAAAGACTGAAAGCAGGAGGAGAAGGGGACAACAGGGGAAGAGATGGTTGGATGGCATCACCGGTTCAATGGACATGAGTTTGAGTGAGCTCTGGGAGTTGGTGATGGACAGGGAAGCCTGGCATGCTGCATGGGGTCGCTGGACACAACTGAGCAACTGAACTGAACTGATATATATGTATATGTACATCTTTTCCCAGGTGGCACAGTGGTAAAGAAACTATCTGCCAATGCAGGAGACATAAGAGATGCAAGTTTGATCCCTGGGTTGGGTAGATCCCCTGGAAAAGGAAACGGCAACCCACTCCAGTATTCTAGCCTGGAAAATCCCATAGACTAGGGAGCCTGGTGGGCTGCAGTCCATGGGGTAGCAGAGTAGCACATGACTGAGCGCACGCATACACACACACACACATAAAGAGATGGTTGGAAAACAGAAAGAGCAGACAGGAAGGCATTGAGGGGGAGATGAAGCTGCCTCTGGATGAACGGAGGTGGGGGAGCGGGGAACATCCAGCCAGCTGGTCCCCCACCCCCGCCCCAGGCACCTGGAAGGATGGACCCTCTTCTCTCTCCAGGCCATTACACCTCCACCTGCACACGGTGCAGCCTCCTCCCTACAAGGACCCTGCCTCATCCTGCCCACGTATCTCCTTCCCTGACCTCTCCTCGGGCTCTCAGACCCACCTAGGAGCTGGCCCTAGAGCTGGAGCCAGGAGGCCTGAGTAATCAGCCCTCCAGCCAGTCTCGCCCAGCAGCATTCTTGCCCAGGCAGCTACCTCTTTCCTGGTTCATCACCTGAGAACCCGGCGAGGAGATGCAAGCCTGGGGCCCAATGTTTAGCTCAATACATAGAAGAAGCAAGGCCATGAAAAGCTTGGTTCAGGGTAACCCACTGGCCTCCCACTGCCTGACTGCTGGGTCCTCCTTGAAAGGGACAGGCCTGCCTGTGTCTTCACAGCCTGTCCCTTGATGTCTCCTGTTCTGAGATCATGGGCTGTCACATTGCCCAAAACTTCTGGTTCTAAAGGCACCACCCTCGACTGGGAGAAGGTGGTTGGCTCAAGAGACACTTCAGACCAGCTCAGATCTCTGCTGCTCAGAGACAAGTCCAAGGCCATACCTCATGGAGCAGCCAAAATTAGGCCAGTAAAGGATTCAATCTAGCTGATACTCCTCCTCCTGCTCAGAGCTCACCAGGGTCTTCCTTGGGCCATATCTCCCCAGGCCATTACCCAGGGCTTCCAGACACTTGTGCTACATTCAATCCTGAGCCAGACTCAAAACTGCCAAGAGCTCAGTACGACTTGGGGGCCAGTCCCTTGGCTCCATGTGCTACTATTTCCTCAATGTCAAGTGGGAGTTTTGACAGGGTTGTGGTGAGAACTAAAGAGATGATACATAAATGCACATTATCAGTGGATGGGCCAATACACATATCTAACCTGGGCTGGTCTCTGAGAAGGGTCAAGGCTGAGAAATGGTCGAAGATCTATATTTGTTGAGAAATCGACACTAATTTACTGCGTGACCTTGGGTACTTGGAACTTAGTTTCCTGATCCATAAAAGCGATGGGAGATGACAGTTGCACAAGTCCCTTCCAGCTGTGTGGTTCTGTGGCCCCAAGGTCTCTCTTTGCACACCCCGCTGGCCAAGGGGTGGCTCCATCCCTGAGAATCCGGCAAGGTGTGAATCAGCAGGGACCCTGTGAGGAGCGGGACCTGCGTTCAAGCCAGAGCACCAAGAGTGATATAGCCAAGATATTGAGTTGGCTGAAATGTTCCTTTGGGTTTTTCCACAGGATGTTACAGAAAAAACAAACAAACAACAACAACAACCAAAAAAAAACCCTTTTGGCCAACCCAAAAGTAGTAACTGGTTTGGTGGGGCTAAGAAATGCTTAGAAGGGCTGCTGACTGGAACCCCATATATAAGCCTGCCCAGGACAGCTTCACCCCACAGTCCAGGGAAAGAGGAGGGAACCTCTTCTCCGTGGACTTTCCAATCCTGTCGCTCCACTCATGGCAACAATCTGGTTCCACTGAGCAGTAAACTCTGTCATCCCACTCCCCGCAATCGCAAACACAGCACCCACGCAGGGAGAAGTCAGTCATCTAGAAGAGATAGAGAGAGAGAGAGGGCCTTCTAACATCACCGAAAGCCAACACCCAGTCGGGTGGAAGCCATTCAGGCGGGAACGCCTTTACGACATCTAGGTGTGTCACCTGTTCTGAGGCTAAAGGGCCCAGGAATGACTCCAGGTGTTGTTCCAGCCCCTAAGACGAGTGTCGGGTTACAAAACATAATCATTCCAGTTTGGCAACTTCACCTGTAGGATTGCTTTAATCGACCTGCCCCACACTCCCCAAATCACTCCTGAAGACAGCAGTGGGAGGCTCGCGCCAGCTACTCCAGGGGATAGAGATGCTGAATGCCGGGAACCACCGAGCCCTGCCCTGCACTTAGGGCTCCTCCAGCCAATGTTGCCTGGGGATCACTGACCTGCTCGCCAGCCAGGGCCCGGTCCTGGGAGACCCTCATCCTGACTTGGGCTGGCGACCTCAGCTCCAAGCCATGGAGAATTCAGAAGATCGAAGAGCCAGGGTGGTAAGTGTGGGGGCTCCAAGGACTGGGGGAGGGAGGGTCTCCCCTCTTCAGGCAACCTAAGAGGTCATCAGCTCACAATTTTGCAACACCTTCCAGGTGAAAAAAGAGGTCCCACCTAAGTCATCCTGGTCCCCACCTGCCCTCCCCTCCCTCCAACAGCCAAGCCAGGGCTATCCTTTCAGCTCTGCCCTCCTAAATCCTGCCTCTCTCCCACACAAGGTCTCCTGGCTGGAGACTGGCACCACCTTTCCAACGGCAAGGGACTGTTTTGACACAAGGGTGGCCCTCTGCCTCCTCTCTGGGGAAACTGACTCATTTCTTGTTAAAGAAAACAGTAGGGTGCCTTAGAACAATCTAGGGTGCTGTGGAGATCTACTTGTCTCTTTTTTTGGCTCTGCCTGCTCTCCTCCTCCTCTGAACACTGAGAGCTTCTCCACGGTCTTGGGGTGAAGAGTATCAATCCCATTTTTCAGGGAGGATAACTGAGGACTGGGAGGGGAGGAGGTGGAACCCAGGGAATCTTCCTCCTCCGATTGTTGGACAAGATGCCGCAGTTGCCAACAACCAGCATGAAAACGAAGGGGAGGGGAAGGGGGAGCACTATGTCTGGGGAGAAAGGGGTGACCTGCTGGGGCCCCTCAGGTGCTGCTCTCCTGACTCTCGAGCACTTTCCATGACACTCCTCTGGACTGTCTGGCAACACTCTGGCCCCAGGGCTGGGGTGGCCAGGGCCAGGAAGGGCTTGAAGCGGCTCGCCACTTTACTCTGTAATTCAGCCAGGATCGAAGCACACCCTCCTGTGTCCTATCCCTAGACGCCCAGCCTGCATGCAGAGAAGCTCCATCCTGCCGGGGCTCTCAGAATGGAGGAGGGAGCGGTACCAACCTGTCTGAGTGTCGGCAGCTTCTTGGTGTCATTTGGAGCTACACAGAAGGAGGCAGTTTTTTGTTTTATAGTTTTATTTATTAACTTTGGCTGTGCCAGGTCTTCATTGATGCTTGGGCTTTTTTCTACTTATGGGGAGCGGGATCTACTCTTCATTGCCACGCACGGGTTTCTCAATGCATTGGCTTCTCTTGTGGAATGTGGGCACATGGGCTCAGAAGTTGCGGTTCCCAGGCTCTAGAGCACAAGTTCAACAGTTGTGGCACACAGGCTTAGTTGCTCCACGGCATGTGGGATCGTCCCAGACCAGGGATTAAACCTGCACTGGCAGGTGGATTCTTTACCACTGAGCCACCAGGAAAGTCCCAGGAGGCAGTTTTGATGGCAGATTGCTGGGGCACTACCCGTAGGGTCAAAGGTCACATGGCCAGTTCCTTTGGGAGCTTATCAGTCTCGAGACTTTGAGGCTCACTGTCTCCTTCTATAAAACAGAAATATTATCCACACTACCCCCTAGGCATACACACAGGGTTAGCCTAGGGGTATATGAGAATAGCCTCAGTAAACCAGGGACCCCTGTGCAGAAGTCAGGACTTTATCACTAAATAGAACTCGCTCCAGGGAATGGCAGATTGGGGGGCATGGCCATCACTGACCCTCCGCTTCCCTGGGCAGGAGCTGGGTGCTCACTGCTGTGTGAACAAGCTGGGGCAGGTGAACACACTGGGGAGGAGGTGCCAAGCCTGGGGCCCCAAAGGCCAGGCAACAGTGAGACCATAGTCCAGGATGGCACCCAGAGAGCTTCCAGTCCCTGAGCTAACCATTAAACCACCGTGCCTCATAACCTGTTATTTCCTCTAATGAGGCCCAGATAGCTATAGCTCCCAGCCCTGGGAGAGATGAGACAGCCTTCCCTCTTCGTCCCACACCCCAGGGCCACTCCCTGGGCCAGGTCCTGCACTGCGGCTTTGTCTTCATAATGGTGCTCCCTCAAACCTATTCAACCAGGTGTGCATATGCCAGCGAGACAAGAGCTAGGGAGAGGGCCCAGGGCAGAGGTCTGAGCCTCGGCCCTCAAGGGGAGCATATCCCTTGGTATCTGATACCTACAGCAGAGCGCTGGAGGGAAGCCTGGGATGGGGGACTAGCTGACCTGGTCCTAACTGGTTACTGCCCACGAGGCCCCAGTACACCATAAGTCACAGGAGTAGAGGGCTCAACACTTGAGGTCAGTTCAACCCTCGGGCTGCCCTGGAGAAAGCAGGTCTTCCTTGCCTCTCCTCCTTGACTTGCCACTGGTACAGGCCCAGAGGTTGCTGGGCTTGGTGGGACTCAGGAAAGTGGCCAGTCAGTGGGCAGCCTGCTGGCAGCGGGGGTCAGGGAGCATGGGTGGGGTCCACTTCAAAGAGAGGCTGAGTCCAGGAGCCCACTCAGTCCTCGTGGTGCCTTCCTGGCTGGTAGACAGAAGAGGTGGGCCATGCAAAGACCCAAGAGAGCAAGACAGGAAAAGAAGGGCCAGGTGCCCTCCTGTTCTCCAGGCCCCCCACCTGCTGTGGCCCCTAAAGTAGCTACACCCTTTCAACTGCCATTTAATCAGCCCCTCCTACCAGCCAGCCTCCAGACGGCTGGAAGTGGGGCAAGAGGGTACAACGCCTGGGTTCTGGCCTGGAGGTGCTCGAATCCAGAGGAAGGGCGGCTCCTTAAGCAAAGGATCCTAAGGCAGTGTGAGCAATCCAAGAACCAGAGGAGGTGCGAGGTACCGGTGGAGCAGAGAAGGCAGCAGATTCTCTCTAGGAGTGGCCGGGAGTCGTCCCAGAAGAGATACTTAAACTTGACCTTGAATCAGGCTTTCTCCAGGCAGGAGGAAGTGCATGTGAATAGCAGAAAGCGAGGTAGTGCGAGGCAAGGGGGCGGGGCGGTGGCTTGAGCAAAGTGCGCAGGCGCAGTGAGCACAGAGGCCGAAGCTGGGGTCTGGGCCCCTCGCGGTGTCATGCAGGCTCTCCATGGAGATCAGGTTCAGGGTGCCCACCCTGCCCTGGAGCTCGGGGGGGCTGGGCCAGGGTGACGTCCCAGCAATGGCTGGGGGCTCATGCTTCAGGTTGAGCCACCCCCAGAACCTGGAACAGCCCTGCCTCGTTCCAAGAAGTGGGTGCGTGCCTGTCTCTGTGCCCACGCTTCACTGGTGACAGAGAAGAGGTGGGCCCCGCGCTCACGGAGCTCAGCATCTAGAGCACGTGCAGGGCAGGAAGGGGGTGATGGTTATCAACAATCTCACCAACTCCTGTTTCACTAACAACTGAGTATCACAGGATGTGATGAGACACACGGGAGCTGTCAGAGCCAGACCAGGGCGTGGGCCTGGCGAGAGGTCAGCGGAGGCCAAGGGCTGCATAGAAGCTGGGATGTGGGGAGATCGGCCATGCCAGGTGGAGGGAACAGTGGGCTCGAAGGTGGACGTATAGCCCCAGGCCCTCTTCTGTCTCCAGCCCTGGGGGTAGAGCTCTGTGCCTGGGTACCAGGATGTGGAGAAGTGGTTTAGAAGCCAGGCCTGGTTCGTACCCCCGGCCTCTCCCTCACCCTCTCTGACCCCTCTCTGTGCCACTGAGACCCCCAGTGGTCATCTGCAGCAAACACCCTTCACTTCCAGCCTGTGCCCTTGACAAAGTCTGAGAAACTCTGAGAAGCTAAACGTGGGAAGTGAGGAGAGACTAGTTCAGGACAGAGGGGGAACATGGAAGAAACCAAAAACAGGGCTCTAGAATTCTGGACAAACTTTTCTGAAGCCCAGAACTAACCCAGGATAGCCGGAGACAGATGTTCTCAGGCCTGAAAATCTTGGCAGGCCTCTCAGAATTCCTCAGCTTACCACCCCTCACTCTTCCTTCTTGCTCAGATAAAAACATCTGCCTCTATAAAGCACCTCAAATGCCAGAGCAGTGATCCACCCCAGCAGTGATTCCCCAAAACCTGAAATGCATTCATCTGCCACATTATTTTACAAACATCAGAGTTACTACTAGACTGTGAGCTTTGAGAGGAGGGTCTGTGTCTCTATTATTATTTTTCTTTATTTTTGGCTGTGCTGGGTCTTCACTGCTGCACGGGCTTTTCTCTAGTTATAGCAAGCAGGGGCTACTCTCTAGTTGTGGTGCGCAGGCTTCTCGTTGCTTTTCTTACTGCGGAGCACAGGCTCTAGGGCTCACAGGCTTCAGTAACTGCGGCCCGTGGGCTCAGTCGTTGCTACTCCCAGGCTCCAGAGCACAGGCTTCATAGTTGTGGTGCATGGGATTAGTTGCTCCACAGCATGTGGGGTCTTCCTGGGCCAGGGATCAATCCTGCCTTGTCTCCTGCATTGGCAAGTGGATTCTTTATCAGTGTAAAGAAGCCTGGGTCTGTGTCTTTTCCATCTTTTTAGCCCCAAACCTAGCACAGGACCTAGCACAGAATAGGCACCTGATACATGTTTGTTAACGAAGGACAAATAAATGACCAAAAACTGGAACCCCTGTAACTAGCAGTTTGATTTATCTGACACTGAAAACAAGATTAGCCAAGTCTGAATAGAAAAGATCCCATATGCCACCAGAGGTGTTCCCCAGCTGTTTTCATCCCAGATGGGGCTGGGGTGAGGCCTGAGCCCACCTGGAAATCCCAGTGATAAGAAAGAGAGAGTTTGAGCAAAGCCGATGTGGCAATCCCACTGCAACGTGATTAACTGCACCTCACAGCCTGCAGCTCTGTCATGATCACAGCAGAGAAATTCGTAAACAAGATTTAAGACTCAAAACCGAAACACCTCTCTCCACTTCTCCCTCCCAGAGCAGCTTCCAGCTTCCTGGCATAATCCACATGCAACTGGAAACTCTCACAGGGTAGCAGGAGAAAGAAACACTTGAGGAAGAGGGCAAGAGGCTGCAGTGGCACCCGTTCAGGGGTGGGCACACGTCCAGAGGTGTCATCAGTATCTTCCGTCACAAAATGTACAGCACACTGGTCTGCCAGGTGCTCTGCCTGCTGGTGTGGCTGATGCTTTAGGCATTTCCTGCAGTCAATTTCTTCCTGTATAACACGCATGCATGCATTCAGCATGTGCTTCCTTGAGCATACAGTATGTA